CAGGCAGCGCCCGCAGGCGCTGACTCCTGCGACGGGGGGCGCGCGCGCTCGTTGGGCACCATGGCGGAGGAGGGGCGCCGCGCGGGGGCCGCGCCCCCGGCACGGCGGCTGCGGGGGAAGCAGTCGCCGCCTGACTCGGGCCTCGGTGCCATCTGCGACCTCGCCCTCTCGGCGGAGTGGTGCATATCCGCCGCCGTCGCCGCGTTCCAACGTCCGTCGCTATACAGCAACTTCGGCATATCTAACATCAAATCCAACAACAGATCACAACTTCGACATGACCTAACATAAACTAGGATAACATCAACATACATTCGTATGCCCACATCCGTGAAACAATAAAAACCTGCTTACCCAGACGGCGCCCGGACAAAAAGTGCCCACACCGACGGCGAGAAGGCACTCATACATGATGGCAACAACAATTGCAATCTACATTTGACTCGCCCCCCCCAAACAAAAAAAACTCAAAGTTGAAGTGCCCGCATTTGGTCCCTCGCGCGGTGCCTCGCAGCTAACCCCGCCAACTTTGAGTTGTGTGTGTGTGTGTGTGTGTGCGTGTGTGTGTGTGTGTGTGCGTGTGTGTGTGTGTGGTGTGTGGGGGGGGGGGGGGGGGGGGGGGCGGGGGCTACGGATGTTTGTTCGACTGATCTCGATGTCGTATCATCTTAGCGCGATGGGTGTGGGCACTTCTTGTCCGGGCACCGTCTGGGTAAGCAGGTTTTTATTGTTTCATGGATGTGGGTATATGAATGTATGTGGATGTTGTCCTAGTTTATGTTAGGTCATGTCGAAGGTGTGATCTGTCGTTGGATTTGATGCTAGATATGCCGAAGTTGTTTTGTATGGTGACGGACGTTGGAACGCGGCGACGGCGGCGGAGATGCACCAGGAGGCCTTGGCCCCGGCGCTGCGCAAGGCCAACGCGAAGTCGCGGTCTTTCCTGATTCTGGAGGACAACGACCCAACGGGCTACAAGGCCAAGCTCAGCAAAGAGGCTACGACCCTTCCTCGATTGTCCAATCGGCGGCTCCATCTTGGGCGCGCCTCCTTCGAAGCCACGGGCCCGCTGGCCCCGCGGCTCGGCGAAGGCGGGCTCAGGGGAGCGGGCCTGCTGGGCGGGCGCGGGCTGCCTTCGGGCGAAGGAGGCGAAGGAGAAGGTGAAGTGCATTTCCTTCCCCAAGCGCAGCCCGGACCTCAACCCCCTTGGCTGCGGCTTCTGGTCCATGATCAATGAGCGCCTGCGGGGCCAGGAGGCGTTCCCGCCGTCCAAGAGGGAGAGCAGGGCCGCCTTCATTCGGCGCCTGAAGCAAACCATCATGCGGGTCCCCTCGGGCACCCTTGAGCCGCTGGTGAAGTCCATGAAGCGGCGCTGCACCGCGTTGCTGGCCGCGAAGGGCGCGGATTTCGAGGAGTGAGCCAGGGCGCTGCGCCCCCGTCGCATGCTTCTGCTTGCGCAGAGCTGGTACAACTGGACAGAACTGGTCGTGGAACTGGCCATGCATTTGGTCCACGAACTGCTAGCCAATTATTCACTGCGTGGAGCTCCCCATATGTGCATCTACTCGCATGGACCTGTCCGCCGCGAATGTCTAGGCGCAAGAGCTTTCGAATATTCACGGGCTTCAGTTGTGACGGTCTGGACATCAATCTAACTGCGAATGAATTGGAGTGCGAATGAGCCTCAGTAGTACGAGCGCGTCTTTGTGCATGAGCCTGGGGCCTCTTGGGGCCTCTTGAAACCTACTGGGGCTTCCTGGGGTCTCCAGGGGCCTCTTGGGGCCTCCTGGGACCTCCTAGGAAGGTTTCGTGCCCCAGGAGAGGCGCAATCTATAGCAGCAGACGCGCATAAAACATTGCGGGTTAGAGCAACAGGAGAAGGGCAATACATAGGAACACGCGTTGAACACCAAGGACTCGTGCCCCAGGAGAGGCCCAATACATAGGAACATGAGTAAAACATTTAGGATTGTGTACACAGGAGAAGGACCATCTATAGAAACATACGTAGAACATCAAAGTATCGTGCCCCAGGTGAGGCCCAATCGATAGGAGCATACGTAAAACACATGGGATTGAAGCCACTCCTGTTGCCTTCTGAGGCCTCCTGCTCCTGGGGCCTCTCGGGGCCTCTTGTTGCCTTCCGAGGCCTCCTGGCGCTTCCTGTTGCCTCCTGGGGCCTCCTGTGGTTTCCTGAGGCCTTCTGGAGCTTCCTGGGGCCTCCTGGAGCCTCTTGGGACATCCTGTGGCCTCTTGAGTCTTTCTGTGGCCTCCTGATGCCTCCTGGGACCTCATGTGGTCTCCTGGGCCTCCTGGAGCCTGTTGGAGCCTCCTGTGGCATCCTGAGAAGAATCTGCGCCCACGAGCCTGGCCACCAAAACAAGCAAACCGATCGAGACATCCTCAAAATCTGGCCCACCTGGGGGGTGAAAATGAGCGCCTCGCTCGAGACATCCTCCAAATCTGCTCCGACAGCGAAGGATGTTGAGCCCAGAAACAAGCAAACCGCCTGAGACATCCCCACAAAATGGCCGCGAACGAGCCCGTGCAACCACCCCTGGCGGCTCCCCTTAGGGGTGCTGAAATGAGCGCCTCGCTCGAGACATCCTCCAAATCTGCTCCGAAAGCGAAGGATGTTGAGCCCAGAAACAGCAAACCGCCTGAGACATCCCCGCAAAATGGCCGCGAACGAGCCCGTGCAACCACCCCTGGCAGCGGGTGCTGAAACCAGCGCCCCGCCTGAGACATCCTCACAATCTGCACTCCAAGCGAAGGGTGTTGAGCCCAGAAACAGGCAAACCGCCTGAGACATCCCCACAAAACGGCCGCGAACGAGCCCGTGCAACCATTCCTGGCGGCTCCCCTTAGGGGTGCTGAGTATGAGTAAGTCTGTGTATGAGTAAGTCTGTGTATGAGTAAGTCTGGGTATGAGTAGGTCTGTGTATGAGAAAGTCTGTGTATGTGTACGCCTGGGTATGAGTAAGTCTGAGTATGACTAATACTGTGTATGAGTAAGTCTGGGTATGAGTGAGTCTGTGTATGAGTACGTCTGGGTGTGAGTAAGTCTGTGTATGAGTAAGTCTGTGTATGAGTATGTCTGAGTGTGAGTAAGTCTGAGTATGAGTAAGTCCGACAGGAGGGGAGGAGAAAAGAGGAGGAGGGTGGAGGAAGAGTAGGAGGCGTCCAAGTAATAACAAGATCCCCATCTTAGGATATGGGGAAAATCATGTCCGGCAAAGAACTGGTTGTGCCAATTGCACCAGCTCCATGCTTTTCTCCACGCAAAGGGAAGGGGGGCGCGGGCCTGCCAGGGCGCGTCGTCTGTCCAAGGGCGCGCGGATTTTTGAAGAAGCTCGGAAGGTGGTGACCGCCACTATTACGGAACGACTCCCGCACACTCCAATTTCATCGTCAACACGTGCGCCTCCAGCATCACCAGCGACAACGCCGAAGCCACCGCCATTGTCATGTGAGGGAGTTAGTTTCGCGCACATGTGTCATCCGGACGCCTGGGGCATCACGTATTCCAACATCCCAGGTGCACGGCCCCAGTTCCTGCCTGGTGTGCCGCGTGCGCCATGTGAGCAAGGTTTGCCAGGTGCGCGCAGTGCTCCAAGTTCGCCAGGTGCGCCCGCCACGCCCGTCTCCAAGGGCGACCCCGAGGGCGATGGGGCAGCCGCTTCTCTTTTTTTTTCTTTTTTTTTTTTTTTTTTTTTTTATTTTTTCTCGCGCGGGTCCGCCCGATCCCTGGTGGTGGTTTGTTGGGGGGGGGCGGCGGTGGGGGGGGGGGGGGGCGCCGCGCGATGGCCAGTTGCGCCGCATCAGGTAAAGGCTTAAAACTTGCGCAACTTGTACAATTTGCGCATCAAACTTGTTGGGGAAATACGTAAAACTTGTAAAGAAGAAGATTCAATCTACAAAAAGGTTTCTTTCTTACGAGTTTTGCGTATTTTTGCCGACAATTTTTACGCGGAAGTTTTACAGGTTGTACAAATTTTACGGCATTCCCGCGCAGGTCGTGGACTCACGTCATCCTGGCGCCTGGGGCATCACATATTTCAACATCCCAGGTGCACCGACCCAGTCCCCGCCAGGTGCGACGCGTGCGCCAGGTGAGCAAGGTTTGCCAGGTGCGCGCAGTGGACCCTTCCCGTGTCTTTCCCGTAGCCACGTCTGCCCAGGGCGCGCCGCAGGCGCAGGCAGCGCCCGCAGGCGCTGACTCCGGCGACGGGGGGCGCGCGCGCTCGCTGGGCACCATGGCGGAGGAGGGGCGCCGCGCGGGGGCCGCGCCCCCGGCACGGCGGCCGCGGGGAAGCAGTCGCCGCCTGACGGGGGCCTCGGTGCCATCTGCGACCTCGCCATCTCGGCGGAGTGGTGCATCTCCGCCGCCGTCGCCGCGTTCCAACGTCCGTCGCTATACAAAACAACTTCGGCATATCTAGCAGCAAATCCAACAACATATCACAACTCGTCATGACCTAGCATAAACTAGGATAACATCAACATACATTCGTATACCCACATCACACGAAACAATAAAAAACCTGCTTACCCAGTCGGTGCCCGGACAAAAAGTGTCCACACCCAGGGCGGCAAGACACTGCGACGTGATAACAACCGCAACAGCATGATGCACTTGCCTCGCACCCCTCCCCCCCAAAACCCAAAGTTGAAGTGTCCACATTTTGTCCTTGGCGCACGGCCTGCCGCCTAACCCCGCCAACTTTGAGTTGGGGGAAAGGGGGGTATCCATATTCGTCCGACGTGATTTGGCGACGAGTTGTCTAGGCGCAACAAGTGTGGACACTTTTTGTCCGGGCACGTCTGGTAAGCAGGTGGTTTTTTGTTTCATGATGTGGGTGTATGAAATGTTGTTGATGTTGTCTAGTTTATGTTAGGTCATTTGTCGAAGGTGTGATTATGTCGCAGGATTGTGCTAGAGATGCCGATGTTGTTTTGTAATTAGTGTCGGACTTTGGAACGCGGCGACGGCGGCGGAGATGTACCGGGAGGCCTTGGCCCCGGCGCTGCGCAAGGCCAACGCGAAGTCGCGGTCTTTCCTCATTCTGGAGGACAACGACCCAACGGGCTACAAGGCCAAGCTCAGCAAAGAGGCTAAGGCCCTTCCTCGATTGTCCAATCGGCGGCTCCATCTTGGGCGCGCCTCCTTCGAAGCCGCGGGCCCGCTGGCCCCGCGGCTTGGAGAAGGCGCGCTCAGGGGGGCGGGCCTGCTGGGCGGGCGCGGGTTGCCTTCGGGCGAAGGAGAAGGTGAAGTGCTATCCCTTCCCCAAGCGCAGCCCGGACCTCAACCCCCTTGACTGCGGCTTCTGGTCCATGATCAATAAGCGCCTGCGGGGCCAGGAGGCGAAGTTCCCGCCGTCCAAGAGGGAGAGCAGGGCCGCCTTCATTCGGCGCCTGAAGCACACCATCATGCGGGTCCCCATCGGCCACCCTGGAGCCGCTGGTGAAGTCCATGAAGCGGCGCTGCACCGCGTTGCTGGCCGCGAAGGGCGCGGACTTCGAGGAGTGAGCCAGGGCGCTGCGCCCCCGTCGCATGCTTCTGCTTGCGCAGAACTGGTACAACTGGACAGAACTGGTCGTGGAACTGGCCATGCACTTGGTCCACGAACTGCTAACCAAAAATCATGTCCGGCAAAGAACTGGTTGTGCCAACTGCACCAGCTCCACGCACTTCTCCACGCAAAGGGAAGGGGGGCGCGGGCCTGCCAGGGCGCGTCGTCTGTCCAAGGTCGCGCGGATTTTTCAAGAAGCTCGGAAGGTGGTGACCGCCACTATTACGGAACGACTCCCGCACACCAAGTTCATCGTCAACACGCGCGCCTCCAGCATCACCAGCGACAGCGCCGATGCCACCGCCATTGTCATGTGAGGGAGTTAGTTTCGCGCGCATGTGTCATCCTGACGCCCGGGGCATCACGTATTCCAACATCCCAGGTGCACCGCCCCAGTTCCTGCCTGGTGTGCCGCGTGCGCCATGTGAGCAAGGTTTGCCAGGTGCGCGCAGTGCTCCAAGTTCGCCAGGTGCGCCCGCCACGCCCGTCTCCAAGGACGACCCCGAGGGCGATGGGGCAGCCGCTCTCGCGCGGTCCGCCCGATCCCTGGTGGTGGTTGTTGGGGTGGGGGGGGGGGGCGCCGCGCGATGGCCAGTTGCGCCGCATCAGGTAAAGGGTTAAAACTTGTACAACTTGTACAATTTGCGCATCAAACTTGTTGGGGAAATACGTAAAACTTGTAAACAAGAAGATTCAATCTACAAAAAGGTTTCTTTCTTACGAGGTTTACGAGTTTTGCGTAGTTTGCCGACAAGTTCTACGCGGAAGTTTTACAAGTTGTAAAAGTTTTACGGCATTCCCGCGCAGGTCGTGGACTCACGTCATCCTGGCGCCTGGAGCATCACATATTTCAACATCCCAGGTGCACCGACCCAGTCCCCGCCAGGTGCGACGCGCGCGCCAGGTGAGCAAGGTTTGCCAGGTGCGCGCAGCGGACCCTTCCCGCGTCTTTCCCGTAGCCACGTCGGCCCAGGGCGCGCCGCAGGCGCAGGCAGCGCCCGCAGGCGCTGACTCCGGCGACGGGGTGCGCGCGCGCTCGTTGGGCACCATGGCGGAGGAGGGGCGCCGCGCGGGGGCCGCGCCCCCGGCACGGCGGCTGCGGGGGAAGCAGTCGCCGCCTGACGGGGGCCTCGGTGCCATCTGCGACCTCGCCATCTCGGCGGAGTGGTGCATCTCCGCCGCCGTCGCCGCGTTTCCAACGTCCGTCGCTATACAAAACAACTTCGGCAGATCTAGCATCAAATCCAACAACAGATCACAACTCGTCATGAGCTAACATAAACTAGGATAACATCAACATACATTCGTATACCCACATCCATGAAACAATAAAAACCTACTTACCCAGACGGCGCCCGGATAAAAGTGTCCACGCCGACGGCGAGAAGGCAGTCACACATGATGGCAACAACAATTGCAATCTGCATTTGACTCGCCCCCCTCCCCCCCAAAACTCAAAGTTGAAGTGTCCACATGTTGCCCCTCGCGCGGTGCCTCGCAGCTAACCCCGCCAACTTTGAGTTGGGGGGGGGGGGGGGGGGGGGGGGCAGCGGATATTTTGTTCGATGGATTTCGATGGTAGGTATCATCTTAGCTTCGCGATGGGTGTGAGGCACTTCTTGTCCGGGCACCCGAGCTGTAAGCAGGTTGTTATTGTTTCATGGATGTGGGTATATTGAATGTTATGTTTGATGTTTTCCTATGTTTGTGTTAGTGATGGTTCGAAGGTGTGATTGTCGCTGGGATTTGATGCTAGATATGCCGAATTTGTTTCGTATAGTGACGGACGTTGGAACGGGCGACGGGGGCGGTGATGCACCAGGAGGCTAGGCAAGTGCACGGCGCCCAAAGGCAACGCGAAGCCGCGATTCTGTCCTGATTTCTGGAGGACAACGACCCAACGGGCTACAAGGCCAAGCTCAGCAAAGAGGCTAAGGCCCTTCCTCGATTGTCCAATCGGCGGCTCCATCTTGGGCGCGCCTCCTTCGAAGCCACGGGCCCGCTGGCCCTGCGGCTCGGCGAAGGCGCGCTCAGGGGAGCGGGCCTGCTGGGCGGGCGCGGGCTGCCTTCAGGCGAGGGAGAAGGTGAAGTGCATTCCCTTCCCCAAGCGCAGCCCAGACCTCAACCCCCTTGACTACGGCTTCTGGCCCATGATCACTAAGCGCCTGCGGGGCCAGGAGGCGAAGTTCCCGCCGTCCAAGAGGGAGAGCAGGGCCGCCTTCACTCGGCGCCTGAAGCGCACCATCATGCGGGTCGCCTCGGCCACCCTTGAGCCACTGGTGAAGTCCATGAAGCGGCGCTGCACCGCGTTGCTGGCCGCGAAGGGCGCGGACTTCGAGGAGTGAGCCAGGGCGCTGCGCCCCCGTCGCATGCCTCTGCTTGCGCAGAACTGGTACAACTGGACAGAACTGGTCGTAGAACTGGCCATGCACTTGGTCCACGAACTGCTAACCAAAAATCAGGTCCGGCAAAGAACTGGTTGCGCCAGTTGCACCAGCTCCATGCACTTCTCCAAGCAAAGGGAAGGGGGGCGCGGGCCTGCCAGGGCGCGTCGTCCGTCCAAGGGCCCGCGGGTGTTTCAAGAAGCTCGGAAGGTGGTGACCACCGCTATTACGGAACGACTCCCGCACACCAATTTCATCGTCAACACATACGCCTCCAGAATCACCATCGACAACGCCGATGCGACCACCATTGTCATGTAAGGGAGTTAGTTTCGTGCACATGTGTCATCTGGACGCAATGGGCATACGTATTACAACATCCAGGTGACCGCCCAGGTCCTGCTGGTGTGCCGCGTGCGCATCCGTGAGCAAGGTTGCCAGGTGGCGCGCAGTCTGAGGTCCTTCCGGTGGCTCGCTAAACGCCCGTCTCCAGACGACCGAGGACGATGGGGCAGCCGCTCTCGCGCGGTTCGCCCGATCCCTGGTGGTGGTGGTGGTGGTGGGGGGGGGGGGGGGGCGACGGGCTGCGATGGCCAGTTGCGCCGCATCAGGTAAAGGCTTAAAACTGGTACAACTTGTACAATTTGCGCATCAAACTTGTTGGGGAAATACGTAAAACTTGTAAAACTTGTTAAAAAAGAAGATTTTCAATCTACAAAAAGGTTTCTTTCTTGCGAGTTTTACGAGTTTTGCGTATTTTGCTGACAAGTTTTACGCGGAAGTTTTACAAGTTGTACAAGTTTTACGGCATTCCCGCGCAGGTCGTGGACTCACGTCATCCTGGCGCCTGGAGCATCACATATTTCAACATCCCAGGTGCACCGACCCAGTCCCCGCCAGGTGCGACGCGTGCGCCAGGTGAGCAAGGTTTGCCAGGTGCGCGCAGTGGGCCCTTCCCGTAGCCACGTCGGCCCAGGGCGCGCCGCAGGCGCAGGCAGCGCCCGCAGGCGCTGACTCCGGCGACGGGGGGCGCGCGCGCTCGTTGGGCACCATGGCGGAGGAGGGGCGCCGCGCGGGGGCCGCGCCCCCGGCGCGGCGGCTGCGGGGGAAGCAGTCGCCGCCTGACGGGGGCCTCGGTGCCATCTGCGACCTCGCCATCTCGGCGGAGTGGTGCATCTCCGCCGCCGTCGCCGCGTTCCAACGTCCGTCGCTATACAAAACAACTTCGGCCTATCTAACATCAAATCCAACAGCAGATCACAACTCGCCATGACCTAACATAATCTAGGATAACATCAACATACATTCGTATACCCACATCCATGAAACAATAAAAACCTGCTTACCCAGACGGTGCCCGGACAAAAGTGTCCACACCGACGGCGAAAAGGCAGTCATACATGATGGCAACAACAATTGCAATCTACATTTGACTCGCCCCCCTCCCCCCCGGAAGTCAAAGTTGAAGTGCCCGCATTTTGTCCCTCGCGCGGTGCCTCGCAGCTAACCCCGCCAACTTTGAGTTGGGGGGGGGGGGGGGGGGCTGCGGATATTTGTTCGACTGATTTCGATGTCGTATCATCTTAGCGCGATGGGTGTGGGCACTTCTTGTCCGGGCACCGTCTGGGTAAGCAGGTGTTTATTGTCTCATGGATGTGGGTGTATGAATGTATGTTGATGTTGTCCTAGCTTATGTTAGGTCATGTCGAAGGTGTGATCTGTCGCTGGATTTGATGCTAGATATGCCGAAGTTGTTTTGTATAGCGACGGACGTTGGAACGCGGCGACGGCGGCGGAGATGCACCAGGAGGCCTTGGCCCCGGCGTTGCGCAAGGCCAACGCGAAGTCGCGGTCCTTTCTGATTCTGGAGGACAACGACCCAACGGGCTACAAGGCCAAGCTCAGCAAAGAGGCTAAGGCCCTTCCTCGATTGTCCAATCGGCGGCTCCATCTTGGGCGCGCCTCCTTCGAAGCCACGGGCCCGCTGGCCCCGCGGCTCGGCGAAGGCGGGCCCAGGGGAGCGGGCCTGCTGGGCGGGCGCGGGCTGCCTTCGGGCGAAGGAGGCGAAGGAGGAGGTGAAGTGCATTTCCTTCCCCAAGCGCAGCCCGGACCTCAACCCCCTTGACTGCGGCTTCTGGTCCATGATCAATAAGCGCCTGCGGGGCCAGGAGGCGAAGTTCCCGCCGCCCAAGAGGGGGGGCAGGGCCGCCTTCATTCGGCGCCTGAAGCACGCCATCATGCGGGTCCCCTCGGCCACCCTGGAGCCGCTGGTGAAGTCCACGAAGCGGCGCTGCACCGCGTTGCTGGCCGCGAAGGGCGCGGACTTCGAGGAGTGAGCCAGGGCGCTGCGCCCCCGTCGCATGCTTCTGCTTGCGCAGAGCTGGTGCAACTGGACAGAACTGGTCGTGGAACTGGCCGTGCACTAGGTCCACGAACTGCTAACCAAAAATCATGTCCTGCAAAGAACTGGTTGTGCCAATTGCACCAGCTCCATGCACTTCTCCACGCAGGGGGAAGGGGGGCGCGGGCCTGCCAGGGCGCGTCGTCTGTCCAAGGGCGCGCGGATTTTTCAAGAAGCTCGGAGGGTGGTGACCGCCACTATTACGGAACGACTCCCGCACACCAATTCCATCATCAGCACGTGCGCCTCCAGCATCACATCACCAGCGACGACGCCGATGCCACCGCCATTGTCATGTGAGGGAGTTAGTTTCGCGCACATGTGTCATCCGGACGCCTGGGGCATCACGTATTCCAACATCCCAGGTGCACCGCCCCAGTTCCTGCCTGGTGTGCCGCGTGCGCCATGTGAGCAAGGTTTGCCAGGTGCGCGCAGCGCTCCAAGTTCGCCAGGTGCGCCCGCCGCGCCCGTCTCCAAGGACGACCCCGAGGACGATGGGGCAGCCGCTCTCGCGCGGTCCGCCCGATCCATGGTGGTGGTGGCGGTGGTTGGGGGGGGGCGCCGCGCGATGGCCAGTTGCGCCGCATCAGGTGCACGCTTAAAACTTGTACAACTTGTACAATTTGCGCATCAAACTTGTTGGGGAAATACGTAAAACTGGTAAAACTTGTAAAAAGAAGATTTTCAATCTACAAAAAGGTTTCTTCCTTACGAGTTTTACAAGATTTGCGTATTTTGCCGGCAAGTTTTACGCGGAAGTTTTACAAGTTGTACAAGTTTTACGGCATTCCCGCGCAGGTCGTGGACTCACGTCATCCTGGCGCCTGGAGCATCACCTATTTCAACATCCCAGCTGCACCGACCCAGTCCCCGCCAGGTGCGACGCGTGCGCCAGGTGAGCAAGGTTTGCCAGGTGCGCGCAGTGGACCCTTGTCTTTCCCGTAGCCACGTCGGCCCAGGGCGCGCCGCAGGCGCAGGCAGCGCCCGCAGGCGCTGACTCCGGCGACGGGGGGCGCGCGCGCTCGTTGGGCACCATGGCGGAGGAGGGGCGCCGCGCGGGGGCCGCGCCCCCGGCACGGCGGCTGCGGGGGAAGCAGTCGCCGCCTGACGGGGGCCTCGGTGCCATCTGCGACCTCGCCATCTCGGCGGAGTGGTACATCTCCGCCGCCGTCGCCGCGTTTCCAACGTCCGTCGCTATACAAAACAACTTCGGCATATCTAGCATCAAATTCAACACCAGATCACAACTCGTCATGACCTAACATAATCTAGGATAACATCAGCATACGTTCGTATACCCACATCCATGAAACAATAAAAACCTGCTTACCCAGACGGTGCCCGGACAAAAGTGTCCACACCGACGGCGAGAAGGCAGTCATACATGATGGCAACAACAATTGCAATCTACATTTGACTCGCCCCCCTCCCCCCCGAAACTCAAAGTTGAAGTGTCCACATTTTGTCCCTCGCGCGGTGCCTCGCAGCTAACCCCGCCAACTTTGAGTTTGGGGGGGCCTGGGCTACGGATATTTGTTCGATTGATTTCGATGCCGTATCATCTTAGCGCGATGGGTGTGGACACTTTTTTTTTCCGGGCACCGAAGCGCAAGTGCCTGCTCCAGGGGCGTGGGCAATCTGGCGAGAAACTTGGAGTGGCCTCCTCGGGCCCACTCCTACTTTCTTGCGTAGCTAGCCAGGCTATCTGTTTGGCTTGCTGGCTAGCTTTGCGCTGGAGTATGAGTGTCTTGTTGTTGACCCGGAGCCTCGTTCTCGGAGCCTTTAGTCGATATCTGGAACTTCTGCCGCTGTGTCTCACCTAATGTACGACGACCCCATTTCGGATTGCCTTGGCATCGCTCGGACGTGTGCATTTTTCTCTACGAGCACCATCGAGGACGCACCTTGGATCATCTTGCGAAACAGTCCACACATGATGCAGAAACGTATACGACGAATGGACGCCCGAGCGACTGCAAACTGCTCATTGGACGATTGTCACTTTTGGGATCACGGTCCTCTGGGCCACATTCGTCGGTTGATGTATTGCCCTTCAGTGCAATGGGAATGACCTGTGCGGGAGGGGGGATGCAAGATACTGCACGAGCGCACCTAGCTTGACTTCCCTGTTTTCCAACTCCCCTCGTCCCCCCCTCCCCCGCATCCTCCTGTTTTGTTTCCTCTCCCCCGTTTTGTTCACGCTTGTCTTATCAATTATTTCCGTTTGTCCCCATTCCTGTTCCTCCGTCCTCCTCCTCATTTCTCCCCCGCCCCTCCCCCCCTCCACCCGTGCTGGACTGGTGGCCCGTGGTTCGTGATGTCGCCGAACCCGCGCGCAGGAGAATATCGTCCGGAAGGGCTGCGAACGGATGTTGACGCAGGAGTGCAAGATAAAGGGCGCCAGCTTTAAGGCCCGGGGCGGGCGTCGCCCAGAGGGTCCCGGGGGGGGCGTGCAGGGGGCGTACATGGGGATCCCGCCACGGCCCCGGATGCCCCCTGATGGCCAGAATGCGTGCCGGGCCGGCCCAGGAGAGCGCCGAAAAACCCAAGACGGCCCTAG